GTGTGTACGGCTGAAAAAAGCAGAGGAACCCCAGGAGTACAGCAGCAACCCCAGATGTGGGTTTGTGGGGTGAGGGAGGCAGGGTGTCGCTGGGAGGAGAATGCAGGAGGCACAGTTAACGTTATCTTCACCCATCTTCCACCTTCTGCCACAGCTTTCTCTTTGTGGGTCCCCAAAACCTCACGTACCTCCCCTCCTGTGCCAAGCCTGGCGGGTTTGCCATCCCCGCTCGATGCTTCGCAGCCTCTCTGCCCCACGCAGGCACTCGGTGGGTTCCAAATTGCCACCTCTGCCCCAGCAGGACAGACCCATGGACAGGGAACAGGCGCAAAGTATCTGGAGTGTAGAAAGAGCTGGTTTTGCCGTCGTTTTGCTACTCCCATTTCCCAGTTCAATGCTTCCTCCCAGCTGAGGAGCTGCACCTCTGCCCAAGCGGGCAGTGTCACGAGTTACAGCTCTCACCTAGGAAGACCTAATGGTGGGGGCTCTTTCCACTCTATAGGAGGACACAAAACCGGCAGGCCTGGAATCCCAAGATTCCAGTTTTGGACAACGCTTATGAAGATAAATAAGGAGACAAATTATCTTAATTTATTCCATAATTATTTTAATTATTAATCACTTCCTTCTTTCTTGCCTATTATCAGGTCTAGAGGCGGGAGCGTGCCCAAGGCCTGCAGGCAGGCTGTGCCCCCGGCGCCCTCCTGTGACTCACCAGGTTCATCTTCATCTCTTCCCACACCTTTCATAACAGACTTCCTTGAAGCTGCATCGTTGATTCTGGGGATACAGTCAGTAGGCTGCTATGCACACCTGAGCTGACTCGCTTGGGAGAAAATGCCTTGTCCCTTCTGCGTGATTCCCTCTGCAGATGGTTTTGGAGAATGAGAAGGCCAACTCTGCTAAAATCAGTGGAAGGTGTAGGGCGTGGCTGCTGGGTTAGGAAATGAGTTTGTCTTTTCAGGTGAAGAGTTTTTGAGAGGTTTTATATGAGTTTAAGAAAGGCCACATAAGGGTTTTCTCATAAGATATTAGCTCTTCGCTGCTTCGGCCAAAGGTGACCGTGTAAAACTGGGACGTGCTAAGGTAGCACCTGCACAGCAGATGCTGGCTCTGGCCATGCCAGGGGGCAGACGCTGCTCAGCACTGCCAAACTGCACCGCGGCAAATGCCACAGCCCCGCTGGCCACCCATGGTGGCTCCTTGGCAGGGGTGGTGGCATCAGGCACGCTGTGGCTCAGGGACAGACAGTCACAGTGATGCCAAGAGTCCCCACCATGGTTTCTGTAAGCAGGTTATGATGCATTCGCGAACAATTTTCCTGGGGAGGTGCTGCTGCCAAACTGTGTGATGGGCAGAGGGGTGGGAAATCAGTCAGGAGGAGAGGAGCAGGGCTGAGCACGTGGAGGCAACGAAGCCATATCGTATTGTGGCATCACAGGCACGTGGGAAAGAGGGGAGCAAGAGAGAAGCACTGGCTGAGACACAAGCAGAGAACAAGCATGGCAAGAAGTAAAGTAGGGAAGAAGGAAAAGACAGGCAAAGAAACCAGTGCTCATTCAGCAAGAATTTGCAGCAGCCAGGCCTGTTTATATGTATTAGCTGATAACATTGTGATGAGAAGCTCGGGGAGACTGTGACCTCCATTTTACATCACACAGCCCTTCTCTGTCTCCTCATGTCACCTGCAGGCAGGCAGGCAGGCATCTTCCCAGTGCTGGTTTCAGCATCAGTAACACTCATCGTTTTCTAAGACGATAAGTACCTAGCAAATAATAAAACCCCCAAATCTCACGGAGGAAGGAGTTCAGGATGGTGTAAGTTAAGTCCTGACTTAAGTCACTGTAAGTGAGGAAGAAGCACGCTCTGGGTGGAGACAGGAACGTGTGTCAGAGGGAGATGACTGTGTATGGGACTCTGCTGTTCGGATACAAATCAGATCCTGGATCCTCAAAGCTCAATTAGGGACATCCTCACTAATTAAAATATGAGATTGTAGTGCCAAACTGCAGAAACAGAAAATAATCTCACCTTGCTCTACGAAGAGCAAGCAACTCTAAGTGTCATAGCTAGAGAGGGTTTCCAGAAATAGGAGGTTTACTGGGTGACGGCACTGTCTGCCCTACGAGCCCCTGGCCGGCAGCCTCACCTCCTGCCCCTCTTACGGACGAGGCAGCATAGGGCAGAGAGCTGGAGCAGCATCCTTGCCTGGTAGCAGGGCTAAGCACTGACCAAGAGGGTCTCTGCTGTGAGACAAGCAGTAAATGGGATTTTTGCCCTAGAAAACACGTACAGTCTCAAGCTGTGGTTCGCTTCCCATTCTTCTACGTTTTCTAACTTTATTTTCTATTTTCAGCTCAGAACATTAAACAGTCTTGGGTTTTGCCTCCCTAAATAGGCACAGGGAAATTGGAGTGAGTTAGAAAGCTGAATGTTATCTTTCGGTCTCTGAGGCTCAGAGTGTTTTAGCTTCGTGCATTGTGCTGTCTGTGTCTCACTGTCATCCTTTAACCTGACAGCAAAAAACTTTGAAGTCTGTATCTGTTCCTGATAAGGGAAATGCAAGGAGAGAAAGAAATACAGACTAATCTTTTTCCTTCGTAAGAGATCAACAAAGGAAATGTTTCATTTTTTTTATTTCATTTTTACAAGATTTTCAGCTATTAACATAAGCAATGTATGCATACTATAAAAAATTAACATCAGGGCTGCCCTTTTAATAATTATAAGCAAAATGATTGCAACTGAAGAGTTGTAGAATACCTTGTTGTTCTACTTGAATTATTATTACGAATCCTATCGTGGTTACTTTCACATTGTAATTAAGTGGGACTGGTTTGGTGGTCTGAAATTGTGATTTGTTAGCACTTACACCCACTTACAGAGATATAAACATCTATAAAGTACATGAGTGTTAAGAATTAAGTTTATTGAGGTCAAACTAACATTTTATTGAAAGTTTTCAATTTCCCATCTCCAATCCAAGGGGTTTTTATACGCACTAAATGTAAAATGGGTTCATATTTAAAAGGCTGGCAAAAAACACCTTACCAGATTTTCTGTATATATCAGTCCTAACTTTTCTCATGCCTGAATACATCATCATGATGAGAGAAAAGGCTTGTGCCACCTCCCAGTCTCAAATCCAATCTATGCAGACTAAAGGAAAAGGGATCTGCACAAGCATATCTTTTGCTGCCGTTTTAATCATGTACCTCCCTATCTTGCCCCGCTTCAGCGGTGCAGCATTTCTAGAGGAGGCTGATTGAGGAGCGATGGACCTTCCCATAAACCGGTCCTGCTGCAGATTGAGAGCTGTAGCCACCTGCAAGCTCACCTCTGCAAGGGCAAGGTATACGACACTGACAAAAGGGGCTTTTAAGTGGCTCTGCTAATACCAGAGTAGGTATCACCCTCTACAGGAGAGATTTTCTTTTTAAAATTTCAGTCGATCTACCTCAGCTGATCAGAGGCATTTGCTTCTTTAAGACGTATTAAGGTTAATTGGGGCTGGAGGAGGTTAGGGCTTTGTCTTCAACAGAATTCTGTCAAACAACTGTCAGCACAGGAAAAAAAGTGCATACGTTGTAACACAAATCATGGAAATGCTTCTAATCAGCAGGTAATGAACAGAAGCAGTGAGAGAGAAGAAAATGTACTTCCCAGCTGATATCCTGGAAGAGACAACAATTGCAAAATACTTTAAGGTGTGGCTATCTATATTAAGTTTAAAGAGGCAGCCCCAGAAAATGGATGAGGTTGAAGCAGGATGAAATTACCGAAGACTGCTCTTGTACCGTGGCTGTGGGATATCACCGCTGCGAAACCACTGCTGCTTGTCCTGGGGGTGGATTAACAGCAGTTAACAAAGATTAACTGAATGTCAGGAATCTCAGAAGAAAGAATACAATAAAAACCCTAGGATATATGCATTTTTGTCTGACATTTCTCATCCACACACACAAATACTAAACACTAACATAAACATAATGAACTTAAATGTAAACACTATGCTGTCATACTTAGTAGAGAGATGATGTATAGGCTGGCGAGCTTCTCACGCGGTGTTGGGATTTTGTGTTATTACGGTGTCTGTATGTGATGTCACGTGCTGATCTAGGGGGAAAGGATGTTACGCAAGCAGCTGTAAGGTTTAGCTGTACATCACAGTACAGGACACGGCAGCCATTCAAACAATTAATTTCATCTGCTGCCTAACCAACATTGATATTTACAAAGTTTCTTACTCATTTTAAATTACAGGTAGAATTATCAGCACTGCCTACAAATAGGGTTGCCTCCTGTTTTCAGTAACTTAAAACCCTGCAGATATCAATTATTCATACTGAAATTTTCCAAGCCTGAAGCAGAATTTGAAAAAAATCTAGGTAATATGGTTTAGCTCTTTCTGAGAATTATTTGAAAAGTATGTTGTTTTGCATGTATTAAACAAAACCTCTAATAACTACTTTACAGAGACTCTCCAAGATCGTCAGGTTTTAAACCAGGGCTTGGAAATTTGGCTGAGATGGCATCAGTGGTGTCTCTTTTGTCATTCTTGTAAATGTACCCCAATCAGAGCAAGTTACAACATTTAAAAAGAAGCACCAGTTTGCCGGTGCCGAGTGGAGATGTGGCAGTGTATAGGTGCTGAATTTGGGCTGAATCAGGGAGTGCCTCATGAGGACTTTACAGCTCTGACTCTTGGGTTTGTAGGACTGGGAGCCAGACCTAAGAATAGTTAAGACAGCGTTCAGGAAGGAGACTGAGGAGAGACTGAGCTGGCGAGGAAGGGGAGACAGGAGCAAGGAGCTGAAGTGGGAGAAAGGAGGTGCATGGGGACAGGAGGAAGATACCAGCTTCGGTTGGAGAAAGGGCAGAGAGGCTTGTGCTGACCAGACCCTACGACGTCCTTGCGGTATCTGGCCTTGATTCCACATTTTCAGCCTCGTCGTTCTTCCGCGAGCTCTGTTGCGAAGGGCGTCTCTCCCTCCATCCCGATGGCTGGAGAACGCCAAGGGTACGCGGTGCTGCTGCTCCCAGGTCTCGCAGCTCAACGGGCAGGCGTGTTTCCTGCAGACCTAAAAGCTCAAACTGCTTGGCCCATTCGGTAAGACTTTTGTTCTTCATTATGCTTTCTTGGTTTAGGAACAGACACACTCAAAAATCCATCAAATGTTAAAGGAACATGAACATTGCAAAATCTAGTCCTTGTAAGCAAGAAAAACAATAGAAAGTTGTCCACATAAACATAATTTATCTTCTGTGTGCCTAAATACAATGGTATAAAATAATTTTTCCCCAGTTGACTCCTAAAGTCCTCACAATTAAAACTGCTGGGAACGAGAGGGAGATTTGATCAAAGAGATACACCAATGCTTCTGGCCCCATTTCATATTTCCCATGGAAGATTGGTAGATTATTTTAATCTTAATCTTGAATATGCCTTTTTTTTTTCCCCAAGTGGGAATTACACTCAACTACCATGTCTGGAGAGTGATGAATAGATACAGAAAAGCTGATGAGGGACTATGTCATATTTACAGTTCTAACTGTGAAGGCACAGGGCTATGCATTGAATCATAGGGAGGAAAGAACCGACTGAAACCTCGGTAGGTACAAGAATGATCTAAATTGTGTCATGAACTCTGTATTTCCAAACTTTTCACTTCTTTAATTTGCTGTATTACTGATTTTTAACATAGTTACTAGTTACAATTTTTATACAATCTCACATGGGTTCCCCAGTTTCTTGACCACGTATGCATTAGTACACAATGATGTAATTCAGAGTTTATAAGAAAGTGAGAACAAGGCTTAGGTAAATGTAGTGTCACCTAATATTAAAATATTGAAATATGAAAAGGCTTAAACATATTCAACTTCTTTAGAGAATGACATGGGAGGGAAAAAAAAAAATCTCAGGACAAAGCAAACGCACCTGATTTTGAACTTTCCAGAGATGAGGAAGATCACCTGGAGAAGGTCACAATTGCATCCAGAATGATGATTCCAAGAGCATTTCAATTTTTTGCTCTGCATGTCAACAAACAATATATTTCTATCACCTTCTTTATCATAAGAAAAACCCCACAAAGCCCCAACTTTGCTGGGCTTTGATAGTCCACAAAGACAGACAACAAAAAACTTTTGGCTTAGAGACAGAAACTAAGTCCAAAATTGACCAAGATTCCTGGATATTCTCAGACGTGTAGGTAGAAGATCAATTATTCATTTGAATTCCTTATGGATAATCACACGCCTACATCATATGGCAATCTTACTAATAACAACAATCCTAGTACTTTTAAGAAAGTAAATAATTCTTTAATAAAAGCATTATTAATTTGCCAGGATAAGAATTCCACATGGCAGGGAGAAATGGAAGACAGATTTATTGAGCTCAACAACTATGGAAATAGGTCAGGTACATGTTTTCTGGTGTTAGCTGACAGCTCTCACGGTGTGATGCTGCAGAAACAGTTGCAGCAGAGCTTCCATTTTTATTTCTTGGCCAGCTTGCTCAAATGGATTCCTCTTACAAAAAGAGTACAGATGAACAGCAAATTCTAGATGCTTTCACCACAGTAACCATGGCAGATTACAGAGAGAAAGAGAAGATTTTTTTCTGATAAACCAGGCAATGATGAGACCAACAAGACCAATACTTACGAATGGATTCACAAAACATATGCAAAGTCCTTTCGGAGAGTGGGATACTTTTACGACTGGGAATGAGGTTTCCAAAGTTCTGTGGAGGGGCTGTTCAGCAGTTACCTGTTTGGTGGAAAGAATCCCCAGCTGAGACAGACGGCACTGAAGAAGAAAGAAAACGTTCTGAAAACGACACGCGTAGTCTGTTAGCCAGGACAGCCAAAGGTGTTGCTGGGTTACTGCACATTGCTAATGTAAGTACATACATTCCACACCAGGATTTTTTTTTTCTCCACTCAATAAAAAGAGAGGGCGAAAAAAAAGCTAATCTAGAGATTTGCTGGCAGTAGGTATCTGGAGATAAAAAGCAGCAATTGCTTTAACTTGACAACATGAAGGAGACATGATAAATTCCCTTGCAACTGATACTGATATCAGACAAACAATATTAAGCTTATTAGATAAGCAGCCTCAGTATGATATGAGTTAAGGAAGCATTCCATAATATACAAGTGACCTCTGCAAAAATAGTAAAGACTTTTTTTTTTTGATCAAGTGGTTTAAGGTGTCATCATTTTAGGGCAGGCAATCACAAATCCTCTGATTTTAGATCTGATAAATCCTTTGTGTCAATGAAACATGCTTAAAATATTATTTTTATTAACTTGTTTCAATGAAAAACTAAGTGCCATCACATTTTGCTACCAGCAAACTGAAAACATGATCTGTGGGGATCTCCTGAATTATTTATTTCTGAAATAGGAACTGGTTGTTATTTACTGTTGTTAGGGAGGATCTATTCAGACTTGTTTCCTTATGAAGTAGAACCCTGCTTTGCCTTTCTGCAGTGTAGAAAATCAGTTATTAATTACAATGAGAAACACCGATACATTCCTAACGCTTCTCCACCCAGCCCTGCAGCAGGGAACACTAGACAAAGCTCTTGCAGTTCTTAGCAACTCTAGCCATTGTACCTTCCCACTTGGTGATTTTTGTTACCAGTTAAGTTCTCTTGTGTACGTAAGACAGCTGTAAGATTACAAGCGAGATGCTTGCTTTCCGACAAAGGAGTACACAAGCAGAATTATGCGGAAAAAAAGCTGCTGGGTGAACAGTTTCAAGTGGATTTGTGTCTACAGTTAGATTCTGTAGTGTCTTCCAGTCTCTGCTTGAAGCACGTGCCCAGCACTACACTCCTTACTCTCGCTAGCATCAGTAAGGAGTGTTCTAACACTGCAACTTCCCATCAGCAGGGGCACTCCTTCCTCCTCAGATGAGCGTATTCAGAAACCTTGTAAGCCATCTTCATATTTCTTCACATGAAATTCAACTGAAATTAATCAAGAGGGTCAAAGATCAATAGGGAAAGGGAAAAACTATTTGAGAAGCTTCATTTTTTTTCCAGGAGGCAAAAAAAATTTATCATAGTCCACATTCGGAAAAAACTGATTCCGTATTTAAAAAGTTTGCTTAACAATAACATGCAATCCTCTGCCAGTCTGAGGATTACTATAAACCAACTTGAACATGCATGGACACTGACCTAAGTAACAGTGGTCTGTGCCTCCTCCCATCCTCCCAACACTTGTTGCCATAGCCATACTTTCTCCACCTCAAACCAGCTACCTGAATTTTACAGGTATCAAAATTGGTAGTTTAGCACAAGCTGATATTCTTTCAGGAGATGCATTCATACCTTTAGTAAAATACAGTATGAACTCACATAAAGGTTGTAATGTTTTCAGATGCATTTGTTTTTTTCACCTTATTGGGGAAGAAACCCATTTTTATTACAATGAGCTTCAGAGTTAAGATGAAGGTAAGAAAATCTGGTGGAGAATTCACCCAACCTAAGTGTTCTGGGTTCTAGTTACCTGCCTCCATCCTTCCCTCCATCCTTCCCTCCCAGACGAGGTTTTACACTGGTTGCAATTAAAGATACTGTAAACTCAAGCTCTGCTAATGACTTAAGGCTTGAAGTCGATCAGAGATACTTTAAGGCTTTTATGATTAAAGTCCACATCTTTGAACCACTGCTAAATAAACATTTATTTAATCTAATACACAATTTTCCACCAAATGTATCACAAAGAGTTGGACAACAATCAAGCTTCATTTTCTTCCCAGGAACATGTTCTTACAGAAGTATAGACATGTTCCTTCAGCACCAGGTAAGCAACATCCAAGACGATGGTCAGATATGTGGAGCAGGAGATGGTGGCATTGGCCAGCTTTGTCTTCTTCATTTAGTCCCACAATGATAGGTCAGCTACTTTTTGTTGATTGTTTTGCCCTGTCTCTGATTTGCACACAAGACCTGCATCCAAAAGTGACTAGATTTTCCTCTTTCTTGCAGTCAAATTGCTCCACATGGGTGATATTATGCCCTTTGTTAGGCTTACAGCTGGTGGTCTTACTCCGAGGGTTTAAAGGAAATTTTAGACAATCTAGCTCTCCATGGAAATCAGAAGAAAGAGGTGGGAGCAAGCACAAGGAGACATTCACACAGCATAACTTAAGGCATCTACATTCCATAATCAATCAAAAAGGGTGTGTCCTTCAGTTTGATATTCTGAATCACCTTCTAGAGAAATCTGCCTTCACACAGACTACGCTTAGCTGTCCCTACATTAGACAATGCCAATACTGCCCAAGAAATAAAACTACTGTATAAAAGGTGCTTGCTTATAAACACTTGCCAGAGATCTGTGCCCTAGTCTAGCCAGATGATATTAAAAATACAGTATCAATGAACACACTGCAGCCAGCTTGGTGTCTGGAAAGCTACCATTCCACCCAAGTTCCTTCTGTAAAACATCACTTTTGCCCTTATGCTGACACATGGGAGCAGACCAGTAACCTCCTCTTAACACAAAAAACGGTCTTCTCCCAGCATAGCCATAGAGGATGTCAAACAATACATCACTTTGTTTCAGAGCTGCTTTCAAGTCTGACAAGACCAGTCACCGGCAGTGTTGCAATTTCTAACACCTTTCATTCTCACCCTGCAGATTTCAAAAGTGTTGAGGGAAAGGTAAAGTACCTATTCCTACTAAAGGAAAGAAGTTAGTCCTTAACTTCCCATGATGACTGTGAGAACTCTTGGTCCCTTAACTGAGGAATAGATTTAAGGCATTATGTTAGTAAACTGTAAATTCTACACCATGTCCAAATTATTTTCAGGGACTAGGAATTTTATACTGCTAAAAATAGCCTAAACCTGAAACTTCTTGATGAGTTCATTCAGCCGCAAAATTTTGAAAGCACACATTCTCCTAGGGGGAAAAAAAAAACGATTTGAGAAAAATACGCATTCTTGCTTAAAAAACAGTTAAAGTGCAACATTTCTATCAGACTGCACTTTAAGCTGAACGAAACGTTACTGGAGACTCCTCATAAGAGCTTAGATGCAGTCAGAAGAATAAGGTTCTGGAATAGTCTTCTGAATAATGGAAGATGGAAAAAAAATACTGAGAACTTTGCTGTAAAATAGAACCACATTCACTGACATATTGTTGCCTGTGGCAGTAGATAATTGAACTATGACCTCAGTTTTTTTCCCCAGTCCTTAGGAAAAGGCTAAGAATTAAGGAAATAGCAGTATCTTAACAAAAAAATCAGTATGCTGTAATTCAAAATATTATCTTATTTTGATTTTAGATAATGCACATGCAGTCTTATATAAAAATAACTGCCCCTCAAAAGAGCACAGCACTTCCAATGTAAGTGAGAGAAGATGCATACCTCAGAACGGTGGAAACATCAGCACTACTGAACCAGACAGATTAGCAGAGGGGTACCCAAGAACTACAGGGGTCTGGGACACCACACAGATCCAGTACTGAAAAGATCTGTTATACCTGTACCTCATACTATATCTGTCCCTATCGATGTCATTTTCTTATTTTAGCTTCTAACAGACTTTGGGAGGTTTTGGATTACAATGAAGTACTTGCATTAACTCTAACATTCACTCATTATTTGAGAATGTATGAATGTGTTCAACAAAATGGGAGTTCTCCGTGTACGTGTCAGCATTTGATGCCCCTCGCTGAAGACAAATGACTCAAAGGCTATTAATGATCTGCAAGACAGAATAGAAATACTGTATTCCAATAAAGACGTTTTTCTCACTGACTCAAAAGGGAATCTGAAACAAAATAAGCCAAAATGTTCTAGCAGGAACTATTTGCAAAGTGAAGACGGACTTCCTAAGGAAACTGATGACCACAAAAATCAAGCTGATTGAGAATTGTCTCTTTTCAGTAACAATGAACTAAATTCACAGAATGGATTGATCTAAGAGTCCCAATTCTAATACACAAGGTGGCTCTGAAGAACTGAAACAGTTTGAGGACAGAAAAGTTTATCTATGTAACAATTTTCAGCCACAGTCACAGACTGTAGAGCAAGGAGAAACAGGCACTGACACTTTCTGCAACAGGTCCAAGTTGCACCCATAAACAGCTGTGAGACAATGTAATGGCAATAGGGTCTAAGTCAAACAGCCCTCAAAAGATATAAAAGTGTGCCTACCTAATTATGACTCAGGTCCACAACTGGCAGAAAAAATGGACTCCAAGATACTTGACACTGGTCAAGAACTACTAAAGACTGTATCACATGTAGCTTCTAAACCGCGACCACAGTTTGAGGAAGACACAAAAACATACCTGTCCCGTTGCAAAATCACAAACCACAGGAAGAGGCAGAGTCACCCCTGAGACACTCTACCACGATGCAGCAAGCTACAGCAGTGAACAACTGGTAAAGACTGCATTAGCTGCAGGTTCAAAAGATAATATTACTATTTTGATTGTATTTCTAAATGGATGTGATAAGATACCCAATTACCTCAAAACTAAAAAATTTATCATAGGATAACTGGAGTGCCAAAGTATACATAGTACAAGCTGTGTCATGAATTTACCTGTAATCGTCTTAAATGCTGACCCATACAGTAAATCAGACATCTTGTGTGGAACTGCGCAAATCCATTAAAACCTTCTGAAACTCTCAATAAGAAACAGTAATGAAAAATCTTTTTTTTTTTTTTTTTAAACCACTTTATTCAAACCTGAGCACCTTGATATAAAACTAAACACTGGTGAACTGTCATTTTCCTTGCTAAACCCAGATTACTGCAAATTTAAAATCTGCACAAGTAAGTTTCTGCTATCAGTTCAACATTTAAATAGACTAATTCATCTCTTCCGACACACTTCATAGATTTCATATAATGAAAATAACTAAAAGAATTAGTGCAATATACTGGACAGATCAAAATAAAATGTACTTTGGAAAACAAAGTTGCAAAGTTCATTACTGACAGACAGCAGTACTTATGTTACAGATACAGGAGCATCATTTATTACTGTTCTAGCCATAAAGGAAGAACTTAGAACCCCCTTCCTTTGATTAGAGAGGAAAAAAGTTAGCTTTAAGTAACTGTACATTCCGTATACCTTTAAGCAACTCTTAAATATTACAGAAAGTATTAAACAAACGTAGACTACAATGCAGAGTACCTATTTACAGTACATTAATATCCAAATTTAAAATCAAGTTGGATGTACATAATTGTTAGTGCACTACTTTTTTTTTTTCCATTGGGGAAAAACACAAACTGCAATGGCCAGCAATGATCAAAACCAAGAAAGAAGTCACAGACACCGAGTTTGTTGTGGTTTTACTTGAAGAGCTCTTACAGTTTGTAGAGAAAAAAAAATCCTAAGTCGTAAAGTTGAATTTACTGGTCTGTACCCTCTGAAAAGATTAGAAATTAAGTTAAACTTGATTTATCACTAATTCCTTTAGATTACTAACTGGGTTGATATAATTTACATACAGTGTACCAACTAAAACTCCACTTTCCTGCAAGCATAGGGTTCTTAAAATTGTTAATGCAAGTATTATTTGTAATTAAGTTATTAAACCATGGAATGTGTAACTAAACAGTAGATACCTGCAGAAACAACTGGTTGCATCGATACTGTGAATAAGTTTAAGTAATTTTTAGACCCTGTTTCTAAAAAGGTTTTAAAGCACAATTGAGAATTACGAAAAGTCCCCATTCTATTTATTGTAACAGTAATCAGTATTGAGGCTACAGAAACTGGCCAATTAGGTCCACGGAAAGTAGTTCTTCTACACCCCTAATGGTAAGTGACTTTTAAAACCTTTCAACTGAAGGAAGTTTATTCTGCTTCCATCTCTCCTTTACTGCTGAAATATTACAGCCAGTGGTGGATACATGCATGTTAAAATTTTAGGTCAAAAGAAAACTCTGTATCATGAACTTGACTATTATCATAAGTCTCTTCGCTGTTTGGAAGCTGTACTGGGCCAGGTTAAGCACTCCAATTCCATGGTTATTAACAGTTAGGAAGCAGAAGAATATTCAGAACAGTTTAAAGCAATTGATGTTTTAGTTACTACAACATTGACTCTTGGGTGGTTGTGTGGGTTCAGTAAGGTCTACTCCTCTTCCTCTGGCAGAGCTGGCTCCTGCATTCTGTGGTTCATTCTTGGGCAATTTTTTTGCTATAAAATCAACAAGAAATAAGAGTTAAAACTGAGATAGTACTAAGATTAAATCACCTGAGTACACAGTCAGTCAACACTTTATTACTCTATAAGCATATCAGTATAATCACTAGAAAACCTGATTTGATTCAGTGTGTTGGTAATAAAAGACGTTAAGACACTTAACTTCTTAATGATTAACTACCTTATCTATGATTTCCAAGAGTGAATTGCATTAGTAACTTGAGCAGTAAAATGTATCTGCACAGGTATGCTATGCCAGTAAATGACAGCTCTTGTGGGAATCCACCTACACAGAACAGGCTTTAAGATCAGGATCTAAGTGCTAGAAGCTACAGAAAGACTGAAAAGGCACAAAACGCAGACATAAATGGGTCAAACTACTGCTCAGCTATCTAGTCAGAGTAAGTATTTGCATACAACACATAAAATGGCCCTTAGAACTAGATCAAATCTCTTCTCTATAGCTCTTATAAGTCAATTGTTTGTGATAATTTCTTTGTTGTCCTTGTAGCTCCAGGGTACCTCCTTGGTCCTGACATGAAAAATAAGGGTGACAAATGTTACCCTTCTGAGCAGCAGCTCCTCCTGGTAATTCTCTGATGGAGAGAAGGCTAAGTTCTACATAAAGGGACTTCTGTGGGGCTGTCTTGCCCATGTTACCAGGACCCAACAACCATCCCTGTTCTACAGTTTGGCTGCATGCTTCAACTCCAAAGTACTTACTTTGGTCAGCTTCTTAAAGAAGAACTTTTCCTAAAAGGGCTGAAATGGAAGTAGAACAGCCAGAAAACCAGCAGAGTACACATCAACAACACATGCCGTGGTGCCAGATAATCTCAGGGTGCAAGGTAATCTCATCTAGGCACCTTTTCCCACAAAAGGTTGGACCAGAAGATCTTTTGAGGTCCCTTCCAACCTGGGCTGTTCTACGATCCTGTGACAGAACCCAAGTGTTCACATGGTACTAAGCTGCTGACAGTACAAAAGAACAAGGCATCAGCAGAAAAACGCTTTCAGAGCATTGTCGGTTTGGATTCTAGACACATTCTAGAACTGTAAATTAACACACATTTTTTAAACTGGAAGTTCTGAAAGAGCTCTAAAACAGTAGATTTACAAGCAGCTGTAGCTTGGATCCCTCAATTTTGTCCGTGTTCTCACTTTTCATTTTCTCCCATTTCTCAAGATCGTTAATTACACATGGTCCTGAGAACTGCATCCATGTTGTGCAAAAGGGCATTCAAAGTTCCATGCAATACTTAAATCCTGGTCAAGATTTTCTTTCAGGGTCCATTGCACAGATCTTGTTCTGATGAACTGACAAAGCTGAATGTCACCCATCGATGTGAAAGAATACTCACATGGACTACCAACTTGCAGACAAAATACCCAGGTACTGAATGTGCATTGTTTTCTCAAATTTACTTTGTATATTTCATTAAAATACGGAGAGGTAAGAATTATTCTTGATATAACAAATTACAAAAAAATTTTACCATATTTTGGGCATTTTTTTTTAAAACTAGATGCAAACTGTACCTTTAAACAAATTAATTTTAAAATTTCACCAGAGCAGTGTAATTGAGCATTTCTGTATCATTGAATGCAGGCCTATCCCAAGCATTTATGAGAAAAATATACCTTCTACTCATACAGTAATGTGTTCCCCCCCCCCCAAGTATTTATAGTTAATACAAAGCAAGTACTTGTTATAAAGTGTTGCTATAGCAATAATTTAATGTGCATCTGCTGGAAGTTTGAACCACACCACAAATTACCTTCTGCTTTACTGACTTGGAAAGCAGAAGGTAAGAGCTCTTCAGAAACATTTAATTTGATACCCATACTGTTTTTCACAAAAAGAAGTGGGATAGAGAGGTCACTGTAGTGCAAAATATGAAACAGATTCAATAAGGTTATTTGACAGTATACATTACTATTCCCCAGCAGCAGAGCTAGTACTGTGATTAAGGTTATTACTAAATAGGTTGGTGACCAGCCTAAAAATGCATGCTTTCTTTTTCTTCCATTTTCAAAATTTTAATAACAATTAAATACAATTTTGTGTCTATCAACAGAATACACAAATTCTAATTCATACTTACTATTACATGTTAGCATCTTTACAGAAATCCATAAGATTATGTTAGGGCTAAAAATATATTAGTAAATTTACTTTTCACGTGATGTGTCCTTTACTTGGACATTGAATTTAAGCACACATTGTTATCTTTGGCATAACTTTTGAATTTCAGATAGCTGCATTTGGAATTCAAACAAAATTTTAACACAAAAGTATATTTAGCAAATATTTTGTTTAGACTAAAATGAATACTTGACTTTTTTTAAGCAAGTCCATTATCATTCCCCAATTTTGAAATGTTTCCATCTTCAATTACCACTGTCACATAAAAGGTACATTATTCCAGCTTCTGCACCTATCCACGGCAGTGTGGAATCTGCCACAAACAACACACCATCAAAAGGCACAGATTTATACACTTTCACTTATACTCTTGTACTAATTTGATTAAGAAATGCCAAGTATATCTTATAATTAAGAAGAGCTATGTAAAGCTTTTCATGGTTACCTATACCATGGGGAAGGTGGTTTTTTGTATATAACAACCAAAGCTTAATTTTGCTTGAACTTGAACCAGTACAATTTTTCATCATGGAATCAAAACACGTACATGGAACTTGCTGGCAGGATTAAAAAGTAACCTAGTTTAGCTATTCCAAGTTAATCCAAGTGCTTTGGTACTTGACAGAAGACCTGTGCAACTGTGCTTCAAGTAAGCTTATCTGACTTCTGAACATCAAAAAGGATATGAAAGGGCCTAGGAAAACTTCAGTGCTAGAAATAATTTAGTGGTAAAACAAAGATCTTGGGTTAGGAAGATTGTGATGGTATGAATCTCATGAAAACAATTCCCTTGAATTTTCAGTTTGTTCATAAACTCACCAATTGCCATGAATATTTCATTTACGTTCATAGATGTTTTGGCAGACGTCTCCATGAACAATAAGCTGTTGTCATCTGCATAAGCCTGTGCTTCCTGAAAGTTAAAATAAGAATGCATTACTTAAAAAAAGTAAATCACACAATCATTACACATTGTACTTCTCTTGCTACTGAGGAACAATTTCTGTACCATTTTGAAAGAAAGTTAGTTTGCTGAAACACTCATGTGACAACGTGTTATTCATCAGCTATGAAGAAGTTATGATTTAGAAATGCAACCTTAAAAATCCTTACTCATCCTAAAAATATCCAGATGGAAAAGTGTCAGGCAAAACGAAATAATAAAAATATTTATTAAAAAGATAACGCT